TACCTCTGAACGCAAGCGCTATATCACTTCAGGTTTTGGATATAAGATCACTCTTGAAAGCTGTTGATGCTAAACAGCTGGGGTAATCCTGGCCAGCTACACTAGCTTACCATGAGATGTACCAAAAGTGTAAAGGTGAGTAATTTAAGAGCAGCTGCTTACGTTCTGTGATTTACCTAAAACTACAAACTTGTGCATTTAAGTGGGTTTTTTTAGGGATTTTTAGTCAGAAACTTTTGCTAAATTACGCAAACTGATTAACTACATGTGTAAGTGTAAATTAGCTGTATCTATTCCAATTGTTGTTAAAAGTTTGATGTGTGCCAAATTAATTTCCTGTGAATTTAAAGCAGGGTTCAACGGGGCCTCTTTATATTTGAAGTAGGCCTGATGAAAACCTAAACTTTGTTACATTACTTCAGAGAGATCTGCCTTCATCTCTGGCTGGTCTAATTGGTCGCACATGAAATTGTAAAAAATAAGTGCTGCTGCTGTATATAAAACTAGAGCATTGATTTAATGATGAAACTTGTAACATCTTAAAGGGACTGTGAACTTCAGTGTCTGTAGTTCAGACTACAAATGGTAAATTAATTTTCCTGAAATACAGGTGCTGTAGAAACAAGCTCCTTGGAGATACGATTGAAGTTTAATAGTATCAAAACTAGGACAGTGAGACCACAATTAACCTTAGATGTTCTGTATGCCCATCTGTTCATCCTTTATGTCAGGTTCTTCTCATAGGATCAGATCCACTGCTGGCTGTTGTAGTTCATGTGCTTTTAAACAGAGACTGTGGTGTGCTTCCTGTCCTGTCTTCCACCCGTGCTTTAAGCATGATATGACATAGGAGATGATTCTTTTCATTCTAGCCATTTTTCCTAGACTGAAAATACGATGTTCTCTGGATGGCTAGTAAGGTCTATTTTCACTATCTAATATTGCTAATTTGCAATCAGCAGTTGGTGGTGGGGGGCTTTTGTGCTTTAAATTTAATAATTTAAACTCCATTTTAAGTGGAAGAGCAGAAGCCTGCTCTGCTTTTCAAGTTATTCCCTAGTTGCGGTGACTGCAAAACCAGAAGAACCTCAACATCGCTGACACCATCCTCAGTTATGGTACTGAAGGCAGCAGCTCTCCTCATCCAGAGCATCTGTGAGGGGGAAGGCTTTCAGAAAGCATTGTACCAGCTGTTTTCATTGCACAGTCCTTTGGGGCCCGAACAGGAGCCGTGTGCTGTATTTGACCTCAATGTATGACAAGCCAGGCACTGCCTTGCTCAAGAACCCTCCTGGAGTGAAGTGTGGGTTACAGCCCTGAGCAGCTCAGTGGTATGAAGATTAAACAGCTTTGCACAAGACCGCTGCGCAGACTTGGAAATTTTCGTATTACAGAACGATCGTGTATTTTTTCACCCTTAACTGCAACACACATAAAAGCAGGGAGCAGAACGAAGCACAGACCGGTAACTCCTGTATTCAAAGCATGAGTAACGACTCAATGACATATTCACTGGAGACAGGTAAAAGAGAAAGTAGGAGCTTATCCTTGAGCTGGGTAGTTAGGACAGCCCCTGGCTCCCACCATCAGGCAAGTGCTAATACCAGCTGGCTGTGAGTGAAATGTTAGGTGTGATCCTATTATTCCTGCTCCCCCGTGTGACTTTCAGCAG